TTTGATTTTCTTCCAGTATTTCAAAGGGAATGAGCTGTGTTCTGACCTGAAGCACAAGAAAAGCTCAAATGTTGGGGTTGAACACAGAGAAAACAATGAAACAACTTAATTTAATTGAATGTACATTCAAATTATACTACATTAACATTAGAATTGTAAACCAAAAAAATCAATCAAATCAACAAGTGAGACAAATGTGAGTTTTCACAATTTCTTACGAAAATTAATAATTTTCCAAACCTAACTAAATAACTGGAGGCAGAGTTATTTTTAACTCCATGTAGATCACAAACCTCTGAAATCGGTTGATAAATGTAAACGTTATCGTGTTTTTATCCAGAAAAAACCGCAGCTCCTCCGTTTACCTCCATTTATTTTTAAGGCAGTCTTGCCTTCACAAACATGGCGGACGCGTTGACGTATCGCAGCAATGGCTCAAAGCGGCCAATGAGGTGTCTAGGTATTTATTATGTCTATGGTGAGGCCTCATGGAATATTCATTAGTTCCTCATATAGTGGGCGTGTCCTAACAAAACGAAGCGGGTGGAACCGCGAACGTGAGATATACAGTAACTATTGGCAATGTCACAATTGTAGTAGATTATTTCGTTTTAGTTTCAGTTTAATTCTTTTCACGTATTGTTTTGAACGTTTCCGTGTGTTTTCAATTTGTGAGTATATTTTTAGGACAAAGACAAACTTTATAGCACTTTCCATGACAGCTTTAAAGTCAAATTATTTGTGGCTTGTAGCATTATGAATAGAAAAATGCTGTAGTTGTACCAGTAGATTGATGGCGTCTTGCTTCAGCTTGATAAAAAAAAAACTTGAAATAATTGTTACTTAAGAAGTTTTGTACATTTTTTTAAAAACCAAACAACAAAACAGTTAGGCTACATACACTGGATATTTTAAATCTATATAAAATGTTACAAACTCCATAAAACTGTGATCTAAGGAGTTGGTACTAACATTTCCAATGCTTTTAACTTGTCAGAGGGTAGACTGATGAATAGTCCAGCATGCTCCACCCAATGAAATAAAAAACCTGAGGAATACTATATATTTGTAGCCTTGTAGAGAACAGAGTGGAATCTGGTTTATTTATGTCCTGGAAGGAGTGGGTGGATTTCCATGAAGAGATAAGTCTGTATGCCTACTTGTCTTTGGAGGAGTGCATTGATGAGAAACGAATTCTTAAATACATGTTTAATACATTTAGGGAATATATTGAACGTGGGACAGGTAATTGCAGATTACATACAAGTTCTTGACATAGAAGACTCACTTGTGGTTTTTCTTTTTTAGTTCACCCAAAAATTAAAATTTGCTGAAAATTTACTCACCCTCAGGCCATCCAAGTTGTAGGTTAGTTTGTTTCTTCATTGGAACAGATTTAGAGAAATTTAGTATTACATCAGTTGCTCACTAATGGATCCTCTGCAGTAGTCAATATAAAATTACATTTGTGATTGTGAATATTGAATATTGTTGAAAATTAAGATTAATGTGCCAAAGACTTGAAGTGAAAAGCTGCATGTTTGTAAGCAACAAATCCATAGGGTGTTTTAACCATAGATATGTATATAGGCTATATACATATCTATGGTTTTAACTTTAAATCATTGTTTCTGGCTAAAACACCAGTAGCCCATCTAATCATGATTCCTCCAGTAAAAAAAAGTCCATCCCTTGTTGTCCTCTCACATCAAAATCCACCAACATATTTGTTTAAAATTGTTTTTGTCTGTTTTCAGTTGTAAGTGGTGCTGGAGTTGTGTGGCTTACTGTGATGTTTTTATCAGCTGTTTGAATGTTCATTCAGATGGCACCCATTCACATTCAAATGATCCATTGGTAATTAAATGCTATAGCAAGTGATGTAATGATACATTTCTCCCAATCTGTTCCAATGACGAAACAAACTCATCTTGGATGGCTTGAGGGTGGGTACATTTTCAGCAAATTTTCATTTTTGGTAAACGATTTCTTACAGCCTTGGTTTTCATAATCTGAGGCAGTTGTAATAAAAATGCAATTTTATTGGTTACAATACAAAGCAGTTAATGTAAAAATAATCATAAAACTTAAAATCAGCTAAGCTAAACGCTAAATAATCAAGCTCTAACCAGCAATATTTAAGATGTTAAGTGTTTCTAGGTTGGGTATCAGGTCTACTTTACGAATGCTGGCAGCATGTGAGGAATGCATCTTTTTAGGGGTCAAATCACTGAAGGTGCTGGAACGCTATTGTGTTTGCATTGATTTTCTTCATCTTCCCACATGCACCGCTACCCAACGTTGCACAGACACACCTCAACCTGACACTAGATGGCGCTATAATAAGGTACTTCAAAAAAGATGGCTTTTTTTTAATCGCATGGCTTTTAATAATATGCTTTTGACTTGTTTGTACATAGTGTCAAACTGAATATTTCGTGAAAATCACCCACAAGGTAATACTGTTTTATAGTACAATTTTTCTTATAACGTATATATAAATGTAAAAACAATATAAAAATAACTTATTTACATTTACATTTAGTCATTTAGCAGACAATTTATCCAAAGCGACTTATAGAACAATAGAAGCAATCAAAACCAACAAAGGGCAATAATATGTAAGTTCTGTGACAAGTCTCGGTTAGCCTAACGCAGTACACATATTATTTAAATATCCCCAAGCAAGTATTGCTGCTTCAGGTTAGGGGTTGCACTTGCACAGACGACTCTGTGCTGGTCTGTATTGGCCGCCTCCAGTTATCGCTTTGTTTTGCCTCCAGCTAATGGACTTGCAAGACGCTAAAGCCTAAATGGAAGGGTGAACAGGATTATGTCAGCCTGCCAGACAAAGCTGACTGCAGACAGGAAACAGCAGGGTGGCCATGACAGGAGTTGCTTTCTGAAATTCATCATACTCCGTGACCTGAAAAAAATACATTAAAATAAAATAAAATAAAAATCAGCGAAAAGGGTTTATGATTACATGACTAATGATCAAACTGAAAGAAAAAAACATTTAGCCGATCTTATTGTTTTTCTTATGACCGCTATTATGGCATTTTGTTATTTGCTTTGTTTTAGTATGTGTGTATTCTTGCATATCAATTTTACTAAATGCTCTGTTAATCTGTTTTTGTGGCATACTTTTGTTTGAAGTTAGTCCAATGTCTGTTATTTCCCTCTGCCTTTTGAAGGTTAGAGAGTAGACATATTTGGAGAAACATGAATTTCGCACCATTATCATGATTAGGTCCAAATGAACAAATACCTGAAGAGACTGAGTGCAAAACTCTATTGCTGTTTCTCTCTATCAGCCATCGAATGAACATTTAAGGCATTTAGGACCTGGACTTTTCTTCTGAAATAATTTACGCAGGTCTTACTAAATATCTCTCTGTTGTTATGTTGTGGAGAAAAGTCTTCTCTATCTTGCAAAATAATGCTCAGAAGGCAGAGTTCCAGAAGTCAAAATGAGACTTTATTGCAAAAAGACAACAAAGCCGAGATGCCTGCAGAACGTCTGAATCTGTCTCTGACATCTTTATACAGTTTCGTTATCGGTCACTGTCCAATGAGCGTTCAGAGCATTCTTTGATACGTCATTCCTGGTATTTTCCACAATTGTTTATTCGTTTTCATAACACCTCTTTCATTGTAGAAAACCACCTGCTAGTCTGTTTGTCAAAAGATAACTTCTCTTATCTACCACTTTCCAGGTGCCCAAGGTTGCAGAGGCACATACATTTTAGGATTTTAAGGAGCTGTTAGGATTTGAATGAGTTTTACACACATTAAACATTTCTGCACTTTCTCATCCTGTATAGCATCTCCCATCTCCGGTTCTTCCTTCTCTATTCTCTATTCATAAGCGCAGTCATGTAGGCTATAAGGCCTACACAGTCAGTCAGTTTGATCTTGAGGCCTTCAAAATGCACCTGGCTCTCAAACGTGGCAGAATAGCTTACACAAACATACAAGTAACGAATTAAAATGTTTTATATAGGATAAATATAATATTTCATCAGTTACAGATATGTAGTTTAATGAGACATGTACCTCTGTTCTTACTCTTATCTGTGCAGACTTTCGAAGTCCATGACAGACGTCATTTAAAAATAAGAAAATGGAGGAAGTGAAAAACATAAGTGAAATGGTTTTCATATTGTATTTATTTCAAGGAACTAAACCACCATTGTCTTTCAACTAGTTTGACCAGAAAAGTTCTCATATGCTCAGAGCTGCAGACCTCTTGTATATCATATATATGCAGTACAACTGCAGAGTCCAAAGCAGAACACAAAAATGTGCTAAATAGAGCTGACTTTTTAAAATCAGTGGTTAAATATAATGAATATAAATGGATCTTATGAATGAGGAGCAAAAGACAGGAGAGAACCAAGGTG